GGAAGCAACACTCCTTCTTACATCTAAATATAAGTTTTAAGCAACTATTGATTTTTTTCAGGTGCGACTAGATGCTAAGAGGATTGAGGTTAAGGGACTTTAGGTGGATAAGTTTAAGGTAGAGCTAGTCTCTTCTTGGAAAATGTGTTAGACTCCTTAAATTTATTAGATCTCTTCTTATCATTTCCCCTTTATTGCTTACTCGTTGGTGCTTTCTTTCCCATTGACTTATTAACAGGCTATTTTTTCAACGTATAGATAGTTAGATAACAATTATAAATACATGCAAAAGGAGTTACATTTTAGTTATGAGTTTAACTATTGTACCTTTGAAGATGGTGCCAAGATATGAAGGAGATGAACTGGCCACACAACAAAGTTGAGTAATGCATCTACTAGTGTCCTCTCATTTGGAGTAACGTAGGGCATATCATAATTAGGATTCTCAATTGTCTTCAAAATAACCTTCATTGTCCTTTCAGGGATATGTTCATTGTGAAGCATGATTTGCCTAACAACATTGTACATGCACCCTAATGCAACCACACGGCTATCATCTACTAAATAATCAACATCAGCATCACCCTAGACAAATCTAAAAAGGAAAAATATTATGTAATATGAACAATAAAGTAGTATTATGTGTAAGGCTAGCAAAATAAATAATAATACCTCAAGCAAGAGTTGATATGAGACTTTGTAACTGTCATTCACATTAGGGCTACAGTAACCTAGTAGAAGCCACAACTTATGCCGATTTAGCAGCATGTTTATGAGTCTAGATTGTTCTTGTATATGTTGCGATTGTACTTGTATCTATTGGTTCTATTCCATTAGCTTTTGCCTCAATTCTTGAACCTTAGTAGAAGAAGCAATCTTTTTATTGTACTTAAACCCCCTTCAAAGTAATCTTTCCTTATAACGCTAAAGCTGTTGCCCTAAAAATGGATGGTCAATATTTCCCAATGCCTTCTCCAATATATCCTCATCAATAATTAGAATGTCTGTTGATGCCTCTTGAGTCAAAGTCTCCTGTGAAGTAGGAAAAGTAAAGTGAATAACTAAAACCAAATAAATATTAATAACATTATATAATTAATACTTATTATTATTTTAACAACCACCTTTGTTTTTAGGGTGCCAATATTGCCTTCTTTGTTTTTTTTAGCCTCGGTCCAAATCTCGCCATGGGATATAGAATCCTCCAACACTTGTTCTTTTTCAATCAAGTCCTTTTCAATGCCCACATACCCCTTGCACCAAGCCTTATAGGTATACTAATGCTTCTTTGCCAATTCTTTATTTTTGGTGCTTAATGCCTTTAGAAACACATTGCATGATAAGTCAGTTGATATAAAAAGGAAGTAAAAGATAATAAAAGCAACAATTTATAAATGAAATAACGTTAACATTACCTTGAACAAATCTTTTCATTCATCCTCACTTACAATCGTTGAAATATGGAAAGAAATTGTATATTTGATACCCTTTATGTTAGGGTTCGCTAAGATTTTACGAGTGACAAAACTTTTAAAAGATCTAAGGGATATCCCAGACTTCATAGGACAAACTTTTTGTGCCTCTCCTTGACCTCAAATCCTAACTACAAAACAAATGAGTCGATTTAAACAAACAATTGCAAAACCAGTTTTAAAAAATAAGTAAAGTGATAGTATCTTATTGTTAAAGTTTTCCACACTATATCTATCATTGAGGGAGTTGTATTTTTTCAAGATTTCAAAGTGATAGGCACAGAGGACTTTGCTGCCACCCCAATATAACTAATGAAGTTATAGCTATCAATCACTTGATTCTTATTGTTCCACTTGACAGTAGATTTTATTCCTTTATTTCTTGCTTTAGTAACTTCCTCTATTACAACCAACTCCTCCTTCAATTGTTCTTCCTAAGGTTGGCCTTCTTCTTAGTCACTTAATTATTTTGCCTGCTAGGACTGGATCTAGAGCTAATGTCTGGATGATCAAGCTCAGTAGCCATTTACCTATGAAAGCAATAATAATTAAGATTAAATAAAAAATAATAATTCAAACATAGGTAACAACATAACTACTTTCTTTACTAAGTCAAAAAATAACATAACTACTTGTTTATTTTGTTCTTTTTTTTCTTGTTTTAACTACTTTTTTAACTAATTCCTTCTTGATTTTAATAGTTTTTGTCTTTTGTTGAATTGATTTTCTCCTCTTAAAATCCAAATTCCCTCATTGTTATCACGTCTTATGTAGAAAGCATCATCTTTAATATTGTCTAAACCATCTTCATTTTCAAATCATGTCCTATGAAATGGATCACCCTCAACCTCATCATTTCTTTTATTTTGCTCATTTTTTTACAGCTTTTATTTCTTCAACTTCCTTGTTACTCCATAAAACAACATACCATTCCTTATTGGTTAGATCATAGACATAAAAAATGTTTGGCGTGGGATGAAAAAAAATGAAAGGATCCTTTATAAACCCTTCCGTATTCATATTCATCTTAATCAACCCAGAGTCATCAACATCTAACCCAATCTTATATTCAACCCACTTGTAACTATAGATCAAAACTTTAAAAGAAATGTAATCCAACTCTCAAATGTGCTTAATTACCTTGAAGTAACACATTTTTGCATAGATAGGTTTTTTTTATCTTTCGCATTCGAAATGTGCATGTTATCACCTATGTTGGATACACCATTATTTTGCATTGAACTCTAGTCATCATGCTCCTTCATGTAAAACTTGTACCCATTGTAGGTATAGCCCATGCAAGAAAGGACATATTTATTTAGACCTTGTGCCGGCCATCTCAATCTATGAGGAATTGAATTAGGATTGGCATTTTACTTCCCTTCGATGTGCTCTTTTAACCAACATATGAACTACTTATTATGCAATTTAATGATTCAACTCTCTAATCAATGATGATGTTGCTTCTTTAGCTCTACCTTGTAAATCTCTACATACTTAACAACCTCTGGAGAGTTATATAACATAAAAAGATGTACTGTTTTCCATTGGTTGCTTGAGATAATGGCAACTTTTTTCCTTGTTGTCCTTAAAATTATCTAGATACTACATCATGAAAAGTATTTACTCAAATACTATACTAGAAATCATTCAAACCAAGAATGAGTTAATATTTATGTAGAACTTGTTCATCCCAAGAACAATTTTATAGTCATAAATTAAGTTTTTTAATGAAAAGTAAAATTGATCACTCAGTGAACAAGTTCAAAAATTAAATGAATGAGTTTAGCTTTTTTGATTGATGTGACATAATATTCATTGTGAATGACGTGCAAGAATCACTACATGCATATGATATAAAAAGTGTTATAATCCAATGTCTTACTATTTATTTTAGGCTAAAATAGCAAAGGAGATATATAGGCAAACAACTAATTCTCATTCAAAATACTCTCATTGCATTGATTATCGAGATAATGTTGCTCAAGACCAACACAACATCTTACTTACAATGAGAGACCAACAATAAGAACCCTTAGCCCATTTTACCAAGAGTTGAGTTGCCTCGTCCACAAATTCTTCAAGACAAACTAAGTAAGCAACTTGGTGGCTACTTGTCTACCTAACCTCAACTACATGATCTTTCACCTTTCCTCAATCTCTGGTGGTTTTTGAGTTTACTACAAGATGTCTTTGCCGAGTGGTAGTGAATCTCATGTGGATTTTTGTAGGAAGCATTATCTTTTTTTATATGTTCATACTTTTAAGGTTCTTCATGCTTCAAAGTTGCAAGCCTTAAAAACTTTCTTTGGAGACTTCAGGGTCATGTTTGTGTTATTCAATACTCCCAGCCTTAATTTGTTATGTATTTTAGTTTTGATTCAGATGTTGACTTTATTCTACATCATGGAACGTCACTACAACAAAACAATGTTTTTCTTACAACATAAATTTGTGAGAAATCACTTAAATTTCTGTGAGAAATAATTTTTTCACAGCATTTCTCACGCCAAAAGGTTTGTCACTAAACCTATCGAAAAAAAAAACATTTCACACGAATGGAACCGTGAGAATCATTTCTCAAGCCCTTATCTGTAAGAAGTTCTTATTGAGATGAAATTTGTGAGAAGTTCTTGCGGAAACTTTGTGAGAGTATTTCCTTTAATATAAATTTGTGACAACTTCTCACATATTATTGGTGTGAGAAATTCTCTCATATAAGAATGTTGTGAGAAGTTCCTATGATAATATTCTATGAGAAATTCTCATGCATAATAAAGCTGAGAGAATTTCTTTTAAAATAATGCTAAGAGAAATGTAAGACAAATTCTTATATACAACATTCATGAGAACTTCTCTCATAATAATACACCATGAGAAATGCTAACAGTTTGTTTAATTGCTTTTTTCACTAATTTGATGAATTAATTTTTATGAGAAATTTATTCTCACAGAGTTTTATTACGAGAAATTTAACTCTATATTATTATCATTATTTATTTGATGATTTAAAAATTCTATTATAAACCTGTTAAAATATTTCTCAAATAACAGATAATAATTAAAAAAAAGTTGACATAAGGTTGGAGAATTACACAAAATCTACGGCAGCTTTCATTGGAAATAAGATTGGTCATTTTCTTTGTTATGAGTGTCTAAGTCTTTTTTCCAATCATGGTTTGTGTTTCAAGATATCTGCTTTAGATTTCTTCAAGCTTTCTCATGGATTCGGTTTTAAACTTCCTAATAGGGATCCTATTTCTCTTTCTTTTCAACTGAAGAATGTTGGAAGGTTTGGCTCAATTTGCATTTGCATTGGACATTCTTCCTATCAATGTATTATGTCAATTATGTTGCAGCGTCTTGCTCATGTTCAAGTTTAGATTTGCTTTTGTTTCAAGTCGGTGGATGTTTTTTCCTTATGGGTAGCTACTTCATGGAAAGGAAGCATCTGAAAGTTGCTTAACATGCACATGCAAGAGGTTTTGACATTTCAGACTAGCTACTATAGTTTTGTTCTACTTTTTTTTTTTTTTCAGCTGTTTGGTTCTTTTTGGGTGTCACGGTCAAAGATGAAGTTAGGTTTCTCCCAAAACTAAATCCCCTTCTCAGGAGATAAAGGTTCATTGCTCCATATTAACCAATATACATTTGAGATTTTATTCTTTTCAATTAATCAATCACAAGTGGGACCTAAACTGTTAACCAAGTACAATAAAACAACATGAAAAAAGGTGTTGAGATCCATCTCTATACACCAACTCACCAAGGAAAGAGGTGGAAACGACACCTCTTTTTGACATACAGAATTGAACAAAATATCTAATAACGGAAGTAATTTTAAAGATAGAACATAACTTTGTATTGAATTTCTACCCGTACAAAATCCGAAGAATGGAGCAAAATGAGAGGTCTAATTTTGATTTGAATCAGATCCTCCTTCTCCATTCTCATCAATCCAAACAATGTAATAAGTTTTATTCCACTAGGTGAGGTTGGAAACATGAATTATACAATGTTATTGTGCTCTGTCCAAACAATACCCAAAAATAATATTTTGCTTGCAGAATTTACTGTAGTCAACGACGATAACAAGAAAGCTTTGACACTACCTGACAAAGCTAAAACTTTCTACTTCTTTCAACACTAGGAGAATAATCAGTACATCTTAGTGCATTCCATATCATGTAAATTTGAAATCGCAACATTGACAAAACTCACCTCTCCGTGGCCAGACCTAAGGCAGTGCAAGTCAATGCTCTCAATATAGATTTGTGAGTCACAACAAGAAAGCTTTCTCCCTGATAAATGAGGAGAAAAAAACCTTAGATGTTGTTTAGAAAAATTTTACTTGCTAAAGTAAATGACAACTGGCAAGGAGAAGATTTTTACAGCCGTCAATAAGATTTCCTTCCAAGCATTTCTTGCAGATATCCAGAGATCTCTTAGAGGATATGTGCCATTTATGAAAAAATTTGCTGGATTTTCTCTCCAGGTTGTATACTCTTCTGGATATATTTTCTTAGCATCCGCTGCCTCCAAACCAGGAACATACTGTTTCAGTTTATGCTTAAAAATTGTAGAAAAGAACATAGGTTGTATCCAACAGTGACATACAGATCATATTTAATAGCATTTTACGAGACTACACTCAGCAGCATTAACTTTTGCAGGAAAGGAGTCTTGGCATAAAATTACTATAAAGTGAAGTTGCTGAACGTTTTCAATTGAACAGAGAAATCTTACCATTTGTCACGCCTTCTAGATGATATAGACACAACTCCTTGAGTGGATGATATAACGTCATTCATTTAACACTACTTCTTTTAAACCAATTTAACACAACTGACTATCCAAGAGTTACTACCCCAACAATAGTTCTTCAAACTGATCATTTAGAATTTGCCAACCTTGAGTTTGTTTCTATTATAGCTACTTCTCAGTGTTCATAATGGATGTAGAAGGTTGCACTATTTTCAAATTTTGTTATAGAGCATGAGTGGGATTCTGGGTTTTACGAGGTTCATGCATTGCAGCCATGTGGAGGTCCTACAACAAGAGCTGCATGGTCTTTTTCTTTTTGATTTCATGTCTATTAATTTTGGTGTCTGCTATTTTGTCTTAGGTTGTTGCATTCATGTTCATGCAAATATGTTATTTTCTTTGCTAAGGCTTTATCAGATTAAACTTTGGTTTCTTAAATCCTATGACAGAAATAGTATTGAATTGACCCTTGGAATCCAATTCAAACAAATGCTTGCTGCTCTTCAAATTGTTAGATTCAGACTGGTCTTTGGACTGGTTTTATATGTCCTTCATGCGAGCTCTACTACACATCATCTACTTGTTCAAGAATACTACAACTTGGGCGTTTTGGAATGCTATTTTTTTGCTTCTCGAGTTTGTTGTTTGGATTTTATTAAGTCTGTTATAAATAAATAAGAATTTGACATGATATCTACACCAGTTCTATATGTGTAAGCGGTGTAGTTATAGATATCTAATTTGGTTATAGGTGGAAACGGTACAGATATATTATATATTTATATTTTAAAAAAAAAATTCTTGAGATATCTACACCAATTACTCATGGCACCGATTTAGATATATAATTTTTTAAAAAAAAATATTATTGAATATCTACACTAGTTGGCAGTTATTTATGGAACTAGCGTAGATATATTTTCTAATTTATAAAAAATATTTTCCAACATAACTACACTGGTTAGTACATTTAACCGATGTAAATAATTCACTATTTACACCGGTTATTAAGTATAACTGGTGGAGATGTGAATTTTAAAATTTTGCTTTAAACCTTTCTTCGTTTATTTTTCATTGCTATCACCTTTGCACACTTGAATAGAAACCCAGAATCTCTGTATGCTACTTGTACTCATATCATCAATTCATCTAGTTTGGTTCATGGTTTGGTTCTTTGATTCAAACCCATTTCATGGTTCTTTGATTCTAATCTCAGAAACCCAAAATCTCTACTTGTGCTAGTGCTCATGTTCATGTTCATGGTTCTCTAATTCTAATCTCAGAAACCTAAAATCTCTCCGTATGCTCATGTTTGTGGTTTGGTTCTCTAATTCAAACCCATTTCATTTTTCAAAATCATCTATATTTTACTGAGCTGCATTCGATGATTCAAACACAAATTGTCTTATTCCTTTGCTACGACTAAGCTTGGTGGCTTGCATTGCCTTCTCCCTCAATTCTTCTCTAGCTTTGTCACTTGTACTTGAGCAACCTAGAATCCCATGTATGTTTTTTTAATTTTTGGGTTTTAATCCTTTGGTTTCCTATATGTTGATTTTTGATTGATTCTGGCTTCCCTTTGAATTTGGTTTTAATTTTTCATTTTCGTGTATGATTTATTAAGGCTTTCCTTTGATTTGCAATAATTTATACTGTGGTGTAAATGAATTACATGCAAGTTTCTGATAGTTTTGTTTGTTGACCAGGGACCCCAAGAAGTGGAGAACAGCACAAAAGTTTTTTTTTTTTTTTTTCTAAGCATGCAAGGGCGGACTTTCAGGTACATTATGTATGCCCTGTTACAAGGTGAAAACTAGCATGTGTCCTTGAAAATTTTAAGAAACAGTTATTCTCAAATCCCATTTAAAGTTGCATAAATATACATAAATTATTGCATGATAATTGTTCTTGTTATTTTCAAGTCTACATAAAAGTTGCATGCAATCATAAAATTACTTTGAAATTTTATGTTGTTTATTAATGTTGTTAATTATTGCTAGATAATTATTAATTATTACATTTTAACCGTTAGCTGAGCAACTCCATCACTAACAACTAATATATATAGCAATAATTGACAATTTCAGTAGAAAATATGAGACTTTAGAGTAGTTCAGGTAAGAGTTCAGAGGGTGGGAAAGAGAGAGGGGGTGGGAGAGAGAGCGTTTGATGAGGTAAGTCAGGTTGACATTATTCTCTTTCTTCAATAGCGTTAGCAGCACATTGATAGAAGGTGCTAGCTACCACATTTTTCTTACTTCATAATTTATTTTGTAATACTTCATAATATAAGATATCAATACTTCTCAAAAAATAATTTATAACTAGATTTATACATTTACCTTCAATAAAATAAAATTAAAATAAGATAAAAATTAAAAATCATAATTTTTTAGGATAAAAATTGAAATTAGCTAAAAAAATAATATTTAATAATTGAAGTATTTGGACCAACTCAAAAAGCTGAAGGTGTTAGGGTTGAACTTAACTTTATAGAGTTTTTCATATGTCTGCATATTTTAAACTCAACCTGAATAAGTCAGGTCGCCTGAATTACCGATTCTATTAATATTAGATTCTTGTAATTATTTTGTATTGTAAGTTATTAGTATTTTTTAAAAATAAAAATTTATTCAAAATGATTATTAATAAAATTTACAATGTTTAAATTAATTTTTTATTAAAATACTTTTTTAATATTATTAAAAAATTATAGATAAAATTTACTATTAACAAATTTACAATGTTTAAATTAATTTTTTATTAAAATACTTTTTAAGATTATTAAAAAATTATAGATAAAATTTATTTTTTAGAAAGAAGGGGAAATTAACATTTAATCATTTTCGAAGAAGATAAAAATTTAATCATTTATTCATTAATTTTTGAAAAATATGGACAAGATGAAAGTAAAAGATATTTAACATAAACTAAAATAATACATATTTATAAATAGATTATATACTTTATTATTGTCATTTAAAAAAATAAAATTTAAAAATTGTTTAAAATGTTTATAAGAAATTTTTTTATTATTTATATTTAAATATTTTTCATACTAAATTTATTTTCCTAATAAAAATAATATTTGTTGATGAAAAATAAAAATAATATTTTATTTCAAAATATAATATAAATAATTATATAAATTATTTTATCATATTAATATTTTTTTGTTACTGTTAAAGTTTTTTTTAAAAAATAGTATAACTAAATCCCTTCATTTCATGGGTCATATCCAAACATTTTATCACGATGATGGTGTTTGTCATCTCAATTCGATTTTCTCTTTCAGATTGCGCTTTTTTTGCCTCAAAGCCTAAAACAAACGACATATAGACCAAGAACCTAGCTAGCATCAGACATGCTTATAATAAAGCACTAGTTGATTTAACGAGGCAGTCAGTTCAACTACAAGAAAAATTTGTTGGCCGAGACTCTTTGTCCAAGCATATTAAAATATATGAAAAGTTAAATGTAAAAAGTTTTACTTTAAAGATAATATTCTTGAAAGTGATATTGCAGTATTCTATACTCAACAAATTATCAACAATATTAAGTTTCAATTTAAGGTAAATATTTGAACACGAAAGGCAATAAATACAAAGCTAAGTGGAGCCCTCCTAAACTCGATTAGATTAAACTTGACATCAATAGTTTAGTCAATACTGATAGTACTATTGTTTGTGGGGGCACTATTAAAAATGATAAAGGAAATTGAATTAAGGGATTTGCTAAAAAACTTAGATACTATTTCAAACACTATAGCTGAACTCTTGAAAATTCTAAAAGATTTCAAACTTTGTTGGAATGAGAAACTTCCTAAAATTAACGTCCACTTTGATTCCTTAGATGTTTTATCACTCATCAATAGTATTTGCTATGATAATCACCCACTCTCTGCGATTATAAAAAATATTAGGAATTTTATTATGAGAAACTAGGTGGTTACTTTTTATTATGTCTATAGAGAAGTCAACAAATACATTGATCTTCTTGCTCATATGACATTTTATCATAATTTTGATATTTGTATCTTTAATAACCCATCCCTCGAATGTAATAGCCTCATAGCTATAAATATAATAGGACAATAGTTTCTTGTAAATTCTCTTGGCCTTGTATTAAAAAAAAAAAGCACTAGTTGATTTAAAAAAAAAAAGCATTTTTTCCCCTTTCTATAAGCACATTGTAAAAGTATGAAGTACTTTTTTTTTATGAAAATATATTAAGTATGTTATCCAACATCTATGTGTTGTGTTAATTTTGGCCATATAGATAAAACTTCTATGATAATTTGTTAAACTTCTATTTATAATAATCAAGTTGTTAATTAGTGAACAGTTATATTAAATATCTATCTCATCATCCAAATATCAACTTCACTCAATAACTCTAGAAGACTACATAATTGTGTGAGGAAAGTCATAATTATTTAAATTTTGATGGATTGATTGATATCTTTACAGGATTTCTGCAAATAACACACGCCTAAAGCTTCTTTCACATGATACATTATGTTTTTAGATATTTCATTCATCTCAAATTATAAGATAATTTAAAATAAGATTATATAAATTAATAAAACTCAATAATAATACTTTATAAATTTACTTTTTCAAAAAATATTGTTGTTATTGTTGTTGTTGTTGTTGTGAGGGTAAACTTAACTTTCGATCCTTATATTTTACTTGCGTTTTACTTTTAATTCTTATACTTTTATTTTCTATTATTTTCAGTTTTTCTATAAGTAAAGTATAGAGATTTTGGAAGAACCCAAAATAATAAAAAAAATATAGAGATTTAAAATACTGAAAAAAATATAAGAATAAAAAATAAAATATAAATAAAGTACATGGATTAAAAATTATATTTACCCTTATTATTATGATAATGAATAATATGGCAAGCAAAGCTTGAAAGGTTTACAAATTATAGAAAAAACTATAAATTTTTAAAAATATCTTCACACACTAAATCATTATACTATAATATTATTTTAATTCTCACCCTACTTAAAAAATAATATT